ACAGGTTTACCAAAATGGGTTTTTTTGTTTACAATTTATGAACTAAGAAAAAGAACAAGCCAGGAGGTTCAAACAAGGGATCACTACATTTAGTAATTCAACACCATCCTTCCATGAGACTTTGGATATTGACTCTGATTGGCAGGACACAAATGCAAGACAAGATGTTAGCCCCGACCATTCAAAGGCAAGTATCAAACAGATCCAAATGTAAAAAGAAATTAGGTTTCAGAAATGAGGTTAAGACTTGCCAAGAGAGTAAACTTAGAAAAACATCTTTTACAGGCTCAAAGGTTCACAGACTACAGCCTGGGAGTGGCTCTCCAACAACCAAGCAAACATCACAATAGCAGCACCCTTGAAGAATCCTGTTTACTACCCGTGGCCTACAGCTCCAAAAGCTTAACCCCCACTGAACAGCGCTATGCGCAGATAGAAAAGGAATTCCTTGCAATTGTTGAGGCTTTCAACAAATTTGACCGATGGCTACTCGGGAAATCAGACAAAACTGTCCATACTGACCATCAACCACTCCAATCCATCTTCCAGAAGGATCTCGCCTCAGCTCCTAAACGCTTGCAAAAGATGATGCTTTTCCTACAGCGGTACAACTTAACAGTAGCATACAGAAAAGGATCCTCACTATGCTTAGCAGATACCCTGTCTAGGGCTTCATGCCAAGATGAAGCCACCACGTCCTCCATACCTGACACCTTCCAAGTCTTCCGCATGCATCTCACACAATTGGATCCTACCTCACCATCCCTCACAGATGACACTTGCAAGCGACTCCGCTGAGCCACTGCCTTATGCCAAGAGATTCGGTCACTGGCGCACTATATTTTCCATGACTGGCCTCCCACTCAAGACCATCTACCCCAGCAACTTCAAGCATTTCGGCACTTTTGAGAAGAACTCAGTATCGCAGAGAGCATACTTCTGAAAGCCACTCGGGCCATTGTCCCCCCTTTGCTATGCTGACCAAGATCCATCCATGCTGACCAAGATCCATCATTCACATCGGGGTCCTGAATACTGCCTTCGTTTTGCCAGAGATGCTGTATTCTGGCCCAACATGTCCAAGGACCTTGAAGAATTCTGCCACTCCTGCTCAACTTGCGCCCAATAAGGAAAGCAGGCAGCTGCCAAGCCAATGTTATCACATCCCATTCCAACTCTTCCATGGCAATTTGTATCCCAAGACATATTTGCATTCGGGCACAAACAGTACCTAATCACAGTGGACCACTACAGTGACTTCTACGAGTTGGACAAACTAGTCAACACCCTATCAACTACCATCATCAATCTTACTAAAGCCCACTTCGCACACCACGGGATTCCTCTTCGCTGCCTTACAGACGACAGCCCACAGTTTGTGTCTTGCGAATACAAGAAGTTCGCCCAGACCTTCGGCTTCGAACACATAATGTCCTCACCCTACTGGTCTCGCAGCAATGGCAAAGCTGAAGCAGCCATCATCAAGATAATATCAAGATGTCTACTTGGCACTCCTTAACATTTGAAACACTCCACCACGTGGTCATTCTTTCTCCCCGGCTCAGCGACTAATGAGCAGACGCACCCGCTCCACAAGACCGCTCTCAGAAGAGCTGCTTCGACCTGAAATTCCAGATCCCCCTACAGTCTCTTCTGAAATTAATCACTTCAAGATTGCAGCCGAAACTCAGTATGACAAGCATACATAGGCTCCTCTGATGCCACTCCCACTGGGATCTCATGTTTATGCAAAACCTCGACCATCTCAACTGGGAAGCCCTTGGATTTATGGTCAAATTATCGACGTACAACCCCCCGCTCCTACAGCATCAACACGGGCAATTTTGTGCTCCCCCGCAACCGGGCCCAGTTGTGTCCAGCCGCTCCGCCGGAACACACTCCCAAGCAACCTCTACCCCTTCCACTGATGCAGCCCTCAGTACCAGCAACTCCAGGACACAAGCCTGCACAGCCACTGCCAGCAGCACCGCTTCAGATCGAATGACCCATCACCCCACCACCCACTCAACCACAGCAACAGGAACAGCAGATCAGCGAGACTCCAGTAGTCCATGTTAACCAACAGACTACCAGATCTGGACAGGTAGTACGCCTGCCACAAAAGTACAAGGACTTTGTTCTCTCTTAGGAGGACAATGTATCTGTCTGCCTGCCACAAAAGTACAAGGACTTTGTTCTCTCTTAGGAGGACAATGAACAGCAAGGAACTCATGAAAGAGCAAACCTTTGTTTGCCAACAGCGTTTTTTCTTTTTCTTTTTCGCTATTACTTGTTGCTTTTTTTTAAGAGGTGGGGGGATGTCATGTTATATCACATTCCTGTTATTGCATTACTCGCATTTGATTCTTGCATAATTCTGAGTTCCCACATGAACTCCGCTCTGGCTTCTTAAGCAATAAAAATAGAGTATTCATCATGGACATCTTGTCTCCTTCGCACGATGCATTACAAAACAAAATTCAATATTCAAAACAAAAGCAAAGTATCAAACAGGTCTAAAAGCAGCTGTAAAGAAAATTTACATTCATTTGTGGAACTAAAGATCAGAATATGAAAGAAAACTGGTTTGAAAACACTAAGTCTCTTTTTTAAATGAGATCATCATCGGACTCAAAATGTGATGATACTAATCTGAAAAAAAAAAATGAATCAACTATATCATAAGATGAACTTGTATGTGGTAAGAAGAGAAAAATTCCTATGAATCATACAGTTAAACACTTGGTGAAGAAAGGCAAAGCAAATGAAAAACATGCTTCAGATGAAACTGCTGCAACTTCAGATGTTCCTAATTCTGTCATATATGTTGAATCTTCTGTAGATCCAAACAACAGTACCACTGCAAGAACAACTAGACAACACAATACTAAAGAATCATCTCATGAGGTTCCACAAAAAGGCAGTTATACACCTAGCATGAGAACAATGGTCCACATATTGTCAAAATACATGTTAAAAAACTAGCCAGAGCATCTGCTGTTGAGAACGATTCTGTTTCTGATGGATTGACATGTAAAGAACAACTTCACCAACAAAAATCTTTCATTACAAATATGAAAACATTTCACAAAGCATTAAAATACAAGATGTATCAGTGCTATGTCCCTAGTGAAGCTTGGCCTTTAAAATCCAAGCCAAAGTCTATATTTGTTGTCATGCATGTGTATACAAAACCAATAGGTGGTCAAAGAGAATAGAAAGGGCTTGTCTTTACCTTGCCTCAAGACATATGTGGCAAAGTGTGACAAAATGTGACAAGCTATTTTAAATTTCAAAAGCTAGTTCTGGGAAAATAGGTAAGACTTGCAAAAACTTTACAATTTGATCTAATTCCTGTCAGGGAGTGGAAATCATGATTGTGGTCTCCAGCAGCTAGTTGATAATGATGGGACTATTTCAAACAAAGTGGAAATTGCTGAGACACTGAACAGCTTCTTTCTCAACCAGAAAAATCACTTAAATCCCCAGTCAGAGCTCAAAAATGACTTGCACTGTCAACCTAAGCAGGCACCCCCTCCTACGCCATATCAAGTGTCTGGAACATTAAATCTCCCACATATATCAAAGGAAAGAGTTGTAGACCTTCTCCTTTCTGTTCCACTGCATAAAGCTACCAGTGACAATGGTGTTACTGTCAAACTGCTGAGAATTGCAGCACCAGCCATCGCTGATTCCCTCTGTAAGCTAATCAATTACTGCATCAACACTCAGACATTCCTAATAAAGTGGAAAGACAGTAAGGTGACCCCCATTTACAAGGGACAAGGAAGTCAGGACGATTTGAGAAGCATATTTGTGACCACTTGTATGACTTCCTTGAGGAAAATGCATTACTCCATCACCTTTAGTCCCGATTCCACAAATTTCACTCCACCGAGACCGCCCTCATTTGACTAATAGACCAGCTGTTCCTTGACTTAGACAAAAACAGAGTATTGGGGCTTGTATTTGTTGACTACAAGAAAGCATTTGACCTCATAGACCATAATCTACTTCTAACAAAACTGAATGTCTATGGGATATGTGGTCACGAACTAGACTTACTATGCAACTATCTGGGTGAATGCAAACAATATGTAGTCATTGACGGATGTCACTCCTCCCCAAGAAATGTGACGGCTGGAATACCACAAGGGAGCATACTGGGCCCCATTATGTTTCTCCTGTTCATCAACGACCTACCCTTAGTTGACATCTATGCCGATGACACCACTCTCAGTTTCTCATCTGACGTGACAGATGGACTTCTTGGCATCACATCAGCTCTTCAACAAGACCTAGATGACCTTTCAGAGGTCGGCCGCCAACAAGATGGTCACAAATGCTGCCAAGAAGAAATGTCTCTTAGTGACTTGGAAACGCCTTACAAATAAGATCGTCGATAGTTCTATAGATCCTCATCTTAGGAACTCAAATATAGAGCAGGTGGATAGTCAGAAACACTGGGTAAAATGCCAAATTTTAGTCTCATTTGAGTAAAATTAAACAACTATTAGATCCAAAGACAAATTTAAGCCATGTTTACTAAACTTAAACATGACTTTAAAATGTACCTTTGTTTCAGCAAGGTTTAAGCATTCTTAAATCACAGCATCAAATCTCAAATTTATGCATTTGTAAAGATACCGTAAAGAAAGCCTAAGGATCTACTTTATGCTTCATCTTTACGACTGCTGTAAAGTGAACAGAACGACGATCTTTACGCGTTATGAAACGTCATAAATTGGGCTAAAAAAACAATATAACATGACCCTGACCATGAATGACTGCCCCAAAGAAAACAATGTAACGCAATGTTATTTTCCAATTCACTTTGTGTTTTTCTCACATAAGATACATATATAAAATGCAGGGTCAGACGTTGCCTGATGCAGGATAAATACAGTAGCAATTTTGGGACAAATTTTACTAATTTCAAATATCCATCCCATGTAACATATTATTTTTACTGTTTACAGTTACCAGATAGAGATGATGAAATGGATGAATCAAGTGATCAAGAAGAGCCTGAATTTTGGGAAGATGTCTTGATGGAAGATCTACTCTGTGATGTTGAAAGTAGAGTCCCATGTCCAGAGCCTTCTGGAAAGCAGACCAGAACCCAGAAGTTAACTGCATTAGTACAGTGGCTTGTTTATTTTATTCTGATGTGGCAGTCACTATGTAAACTCAGTGACAATGGGTTGGAATGGCTTCTACAGTTTCTTTTCCAGTTTTTTAAAGTGCTTTCTGATTTGTCTGGCTGTGAATACCTTGAAGAGCTGTTAACTATACTTCCCTCATCACTGTACCTTCTTCGCAAGTTTGCAAGTTTTGACCGTGACAACTTTGGCAAATATGCTGTTTGCTCCAAGTGCAGTAAACTTTATGACATGAAAGACTGTACAGAATTTGACCATTGAGGGAAAAGGGTTGGGAGGCATTGCAAACACAAGGCGTACCCAAGAAGTGCCCCTTGCGAGGCACCTTTAGCCAGAAAGGTCTTTCTGAGCAATGGAGCTGAGGAATTTTATCCTCTGAAAGTTTACTGTTTCAACAGTGTTAAAGAGAAGCTTCAAGAAATGGTAATGAGAGATAACTTCCCACAACTATGTGAGTCCTGGCGTGACAATCAAAGTCAAGAAGGTTACTTGGCTGAGATTGTTGATGGACAAGTTTGGAAAGACTTTCAATCTGTTGAAGGCGAGCCATTCCTCAGTGCTCTCAGAAATTATATGTTCAATGATGCTGAACTTTGATTTTTTTCGGCCTGTTAAGCACAGGAATGATTATTCTGTTGGAGTGCTGTACCCAGCAAATCTTAACCTGCCAAGAAATATGCAATTTAAGTGGGAGAACATCATTGTAGTTGGCATAATCCCTGGATTGGATAAAGAACTGAGGAGCCTTGATGAGTTTCTAGCGCCACTTGTGAAGGAAATGAAAGTTCTTTGGAAAGGAGCCTTAAATACAGCATTAAATTTATCATAATATTTATGCTGTCTTTAAGGACCTTCAACACATATCAAACCTTTTGGCTTACACTAAGTCTACTTCATTGACATAATCTTTCACCAGAACCAGGATATAAGTGGTCAGCAGTCATGGCGGTCGGACGTGTTTTTATGTCGTCCGCATTTCTTTTATGTTTTTCGGTTCCTCTACTGTTTTCTGTAGAGGCCGCTGAGCCACAGCATAGAGCAAGCTTTTCTTCCTACCCTTGGTCATTCTGGGATGAATTTAAGTCAAACTTGAATGAATTCAACCTAGATCTACTACCGGTCCCGCTGTGTGCTGACGGCCATTTTGCTCCTCTTACCCGCAAGAAATTCTTCAGGGCAAGGGTAGCATACTTTATTAACCACACAGCATCCTTTAACCCTGTGGAAGTCACCTTGGTGCGAAGTGGCGATGTTCACCCTCAGCCTGGACCAGTTAAACATTCGGATTCAAGTCAAGAACGCCATGTCACTTTGGCCCATATAAACGCTCGTTCTATCAAGAACAGAAATCACTTTATTCTTATTAATGAAGTTGTCCTAGCTAAAAAATTTGATATCCTATGTGTCAGCGAGTCTTGGCTGGACAGCTCCATATCTGACAACGAGCTTGATATTCCTGGCTACAATATTTATTGCCTTGACTGTACAAACAAACCCGGAGGCGGCGTTTGTACCTTCGTAAAACAAAACCTGAAGGTAGAATGTCTGCAACACCTATCATCTATTGCAAGCTCAGGCCTCCACCAGCAGGCAACTACAGATCCTTCCTTATATGTACAGTTTATAGACCTCCGTCTTCGACTCTCGATTGCTTCGACAACAAGCTATGTGATGCCCTAACCTCGGCGATGCCAATGAATAAGCCTATTTACATCCTGGGTGACCTAAACTGCAACTTGTTAAACTCATCCGATCCTGCTTCTCAAGCCCTCGTCAATTTCTGTACGTCCTTTAATTTATCTCAGATGATAACACAACCAACAAGGGTCACAGAGTCGTCTGCAACCTTGATTGATGTTATCCTGACCTCACATGAAAACTTAATAATCGACTCAAAAGTCATACCTTCTTCCATCAGCGACCACGATTTAATCTATGCCATACTTAAACTCAAAAGGCAACGTCCTAAGCCAGTATATATCACGACAAGAACTTTCAAGAACTACCAGCAAGATGATTTTCTCTGGGATATTTCAATGGTTCCTTGGTGCATCGTCGATTGTTTTGATGATATTGACGACCGCGTCTATGCTCTTAACACATTATTCAGTGAAGTCCTTGACAAACACGCACCAATCAAATAAGTCAAGATTCTAGGAAGACCTAGCCCTTGCATAACTGACGAGATCAGAGAGCTCATGAAATCTAGGGACCAGTGGAGAAAGATAGCAAGAAGAACAGGTAAACCTAATGCTTGGACCACCTATAAAAACCTTAGGAATGACGTCAAGAGAAAAATAAGATCAGCTGAGCGCGCTTTCGCTGCAGACCAGATCACAAGCAATCCCAACAACTCAAGCCAGTTGTGGAAGACTATTCGATCTTTTATTCCAAAAAAGTCTGCCAGCATGAGATCATTTAGCAAAGATGACAGGACTGTCGCAAACGATTTTAATCGGTTCTTTATGTCTGTTGGCCAAGTTGCTGTTGACAAGATCAATTCACTTGCTAATGAATGCAATTTTGATCTTTCGCCACCTGTGCCTGATACTGCAATTTCCCCAGTGACTGATCAGTTCAATTTTACGCACATGGATTGTTATGAAGTCGCCCAGATTGTCAGGTCAATGCCAGCTAATAAGTCATCTGGGATTGACAACATTCCAGTAAGTGTAATCAAAGATAGCCTTCCTGCTACTCTCCCAGTGATTACATCCATAATCAACGCTTCTTTCAAGCAAGGAAATTTTCCTCGATCTTGGAAATTAGCTGTCGTGTCGCCTATCCTAAAAGATGGAAATCACGAAGAACCTAACAACAATAGGCCTATTTCTCTCTTGCCCATCCTTTCGAAAGTATGCGAAAGGGTGGCGCTTAATCAAATTATGCCTTATCTAGTGTCAAATGAAAGGTTATCTTCTCGGCAAAGTGGCAATAAGAAATTGCACTCTACGGAAACCTCTTTAATACAAATTACTGACACTCTCTTAAGTGCGATCGATGAGAAGAAAGCTACCGCTGTTGTTTTACTTGATATGAGCAAAGCCTTCGATACTATAAGCCATGGAATATTGCTCAATAAACTGTTGAACTTTGGAATCTCACCATCAAGCATTGCTTGGTTTACCAGCTACCTCTCTGACCGCCGACAAGTTGTGCGCATAAATTCTGAGTTGTCTGATCCTCTACCCGTTGTATCAGGCGTGCCTCAAGGAAGCATTCTACCACTTGCCCCCCTTTCCTGTTTTACTGAAAGTTACATCGATGACACAAAACTTTACATTTCTTTCCCAGTCCACGACTGGGCTAAATCTGTCACCGATTTAAACGCCGATCTTTTACATATTCGAAACTGGTGCATCAATAATCGTCTTCTTTTGAATCCTGATAAAACCAAACTCATTGTTTACGGAAGTCGACAAAGGCTACTAAACCTACCCGATATCTATCTCTCCCTCTTAGGAAAAGAGCTGACACCGGAGCACATCGTTAAAGACCTAGGTCTGATTTTTGATTCGAACCTAACTTTCCACGAGCACATTGTTAAAACTGTTTCCACCTGTTTCTCAAGTTTGGCCCACATTAATCATGTTAAGCACGAATTTGACAGATTGACTTTAATTACTATAATTAACACTTTAGTATTTAGTAAGTTGTTTAATTGTTCCTCCATCTGGTCCAATGCTGCTGACACTAACCTCAAGCTCCAAGCGATCCAGAACTTTGCAGCCCGGATTACTTGTGGATCCAGAAAATTTGACCACGTTACTCCGCTTTTGAAAGAACTGCATTGGCTACCTATTAAATCTCAGCTATACTTCCGTGACACCGTGCTTGCTTTTAAATGTATGACTGGATCCGCTCCTACTTACCTCTCTTCAAAGTTTCTAACGCGCGGTAATGTTAGCGGTCGCATGACCAGAAGCTCCCAACTATTGCACATACCATTATACAAAACTAAATCTGGACAAAGAACTTTTTATTATCGCACTGTCAGCCTGTGGAACAGTTTAGATAATGATCTTAAACTTAGCAATTCTTCTTCTAATTTTAAGCGTTTTTAATCATATCATATATTTTTTATTGTCCTTTTTTAGTTTCTTAGTTTTAATCTTACCCATTTTATCGTACCTTCTTAAAGTTTCTTAGTTGTAATTTTCGTAATTATTTTTAGCTTTATAGATTAAACATTTTTATTATTGTAATTATAAATTGTCACTGAAAAGCCCTCTAAGGGAGTGTCAATAAAGTTTGTATTGTATTGTATAACCAGGAACCATCAGTGAATTAATCATAGATTAATATTATGCATTTAGTAAAGCCACAATATTTTGTGCTATTGATTTTAGTGCTTTTTCAATTCTTTGGGTTATGAAATTGTGCTTGTTGATTTTTAACCTGAGACTTGATTTCTTGTGTTGGAAACCATTTCACTTAAGAGAGGTGGTTGCAAAGGAAAATTTGACTAACGTGAACAAATAGGGTATGTTTATTCAAAACTATATAATTTTGGTATATAACAAACCAGTGGATGGTGTTTTTCACATGCTCTGGTTGACTACTCAAACTCAGGATAGTACATGCATGTGCTATCCACCTCCCAGCTCAAGCTGAATTGTGAAAAGCATTTTTTTGCAGTGTTCAGAGAGATGATAAGTTAATACTTCTTTTATCTAACTGGTTCTGTAGATACTTCACAGCTTATTAAATATCCACCACTAGCCACCGCTACTACAGGGAACGATATTTATTGTTAAATATATTTAAAACAACAACAACATGTGAATGTAGATTGATGTCATTAACTAAATAGTGACTGAATTGTTGCTTTTTGTTCCATTAGAAACTGGAAAGACGTCAGTCATCCTATGAGATGCTACAAGCTTCTATGACACCAAAAGAAAAACAGTGGTATAGTGAGACCTTTTACATTGATTACATGAGCAGTGAAGAATCAGATTACAAAGAGCAAGAAGATTTCATTACTGGTGAAAAAGAAAAGAAACTTGCAGGATATGTAACCAAGAGGCTATCGTGGGAAAGAATGAGCTTGACAAATGCAAAAGCTAGGCTTAGAGAATAGAATAATTTGACCTCCCATGCCAGGGCAATGGCTAAGCCAAGGAGTGTTGGTGGCATGTTGGAGAGGCCTGCACCTGCTGGCCCACTTTGGGCTGTCAGGCAGATAAACAATGAGTCATGATTGAAAAAAAAGCTTAACACTTTTTTTACTTTTTACAGAACACATGTACAGGCCATTA